TCTGGTTCAGACTCTATCCACTGTCCTCTCTCTCTCTCTGGTTTCAGACTCTATCCACTGTCCTCTCTCTCCTCTGGTTTCAGACTCTATCCACTGTCCCTCTCTCTCTCTGGTTTCAGACTCTATCCACTGTCCTCTCTCTCTCTCAGACGTTTCTAGACTCCACTGTCCTCTCTTCTCTGGTTTCTGACTCTATCCACTGTCCTCTCTCTCTCTGGTTTCACTCTATCCACTGTCCTCTCTCTCTCCTGGTTTCAGACTCTATCCACTGTCCTCTCTCTCTCTCTGTTCTGACTCTATCCACTGTCCTCTCTCTCTCCTGGTTTCAGACTCTATCCACTGTCTTCTCTCTCTCTGGTTCAGACTCTATCCACTGTCCTCTCTCTCTCTCTGGTTTCAGACTCTATCCACGTCCTCTCTCTCTCCTGGTTTCAGACTCTATCCACTGTCCTCTCTCTCCTCTGGTTTCAGACTCTATCCACTGTCCTTCTCTCTCTCTGGTTTCGACTCTATCCACTGTCCTCTCTCTCTCTCTGGTTTCAGACTCTATCCACTGTCCTCTCTCTCTCTGGTTTCAGACTCTATCCACTGTCCTCTCTCTCTCTCTGGTTTCTGACTCTATCCACTGTCCTCTCTCTCTCTGGTTTCAGACTCTATCCACTGTCCTCTCTCTCTCTGGTTTCAGACTCTATCCACTGTCTCTCTCTCCTGGTTTCAGACTCTATCCACTGTCCTCTCTCTCCTGGTTTCAGACTCTATCCACTGTCCTCTCTCTCTGGTTTCTGACTCTATCCACTGTCCTCTCTCTCTCTGGTTTCAGACTCTATCCACTGTCCTCTCTCTCTCTGGTTTCAGACTCTATCCACTGTCTCTCTCTCTCTGGTTTCAGACTCTATCCACTGTCCTCTCTCTCTCTGGTTTCTGACTCTATCCACTGTCTCTCTCTCTCTGGTTTCAGACTCTATCCACTGTCTCTCTCTCTCTGGTTTCTGACTCTATCCACTGTCCTCTCTCTCTCTCTGGTTTCAGACTCTATCCACTGTCCTCTCTCTCTCTGGTTTCAGACTCTATCCACTGTCCTCTCTCTCTCTCTGGTTTCAGACTCTATCCACTGTCCTCTCTCTCTGGTTTCAGACTCTATCCACTGTCCTCTCTCTCTCTGGTTTCAGACTCTATCCACTGTCTCTCTCTCTCTCTGGTTTCAGACTCTATCCACTGTCCTCTCTCTCTCTGGTTTCTGACTCTATCCACTGTCCTCTCTCTCTCTGGTTTCAGACTCTATCCACTGTCCTCTCTCTCTCTGGTTTCAGACTCTATCCACTGTCTCTCTCTCTCTCTCTGGTTTCAGACTCTATCCACTGTCCTCTCTCTCTCTGGTTTCTGACTCTATCCACTGTCTCTCTCTCTCTGGTTTCAGACTCTATCCACTGTCCTCTCTCTCTCTGGTTTCAGACTCTATCCACTGTCCTCTCTCTCTCTGGTTTCAGACTCTATCCACTGTCCTCTCTCTCTCTGGTTTCAGACTCTATCCACTGTCCTCTCTCTCTCTCTGGTTTCAGACTCTATCCACTGTCCTCTCTCTCTCTCTGGTTTCAGACTCTATCCACTGTCCTCTCTCTCTCTGGTTTCAGACTCTATCCACTGTCCTCTCTCTCTCTGGTTTCAGACTCTATCCACTGTCTCTCTCTCTCTGGTTTCAGACTCTATCCACTGTCCTCTCTCTCTCTGGTTTCAGACTCTATCCACTGTCTCTCTCTCTCTCTCTGGTTTCAGACTCTATCCACTGTCCTCTCTCTCTCTGGTTTCTGACTCTATCCACTGTCTCTCTCTCTCTGGTTTCTGACTCTATCCACTGTCTCTCTCTCTCTCTGGTTTCAGACTCTATCCACTGTCCTCTCTCTCTCTGGTTTCAGACTCTATCCACTGTCCTCTCTCTCTCTGGTTTCAGACTCTATCCACTGTCCTCTCTCTCTCTGGTTTCAGACTCTATCCACTGTCCTCTCTCTCTCTGGTTTCAGACTCTATCCACTGTCCTCTCTCTCTCTGGTTTCAGACTCTATCCACTGTCCTCTCTCTCTCTCTGGTTTCAGACTCTATCCACTGTCTCTCTCTCTCTGGTTTCTGACTCTATCCACTGTCCTCTCTCTCTGGTTTCAGACTCTATCCACTGTCCTCTCTCTCTCTGGTTTCAGACTCTATCCACTGTCCTCTCTCTCTCTGGTTTCAGACTCTATCCACTGTCCTCTCTCTCTCTGGTTTCTGACTCTATCCACTGTCCTCTCTCTCTCTGGTTTCAGACTCTATCCACTGTCCTCTCTCTCTCTGGTTTCAGACTCTATCCACTGTCCTCTCTCTCTCTGGTTTCAGACTCTATCCACTGTCCTCTCTCTCTCTGGTTTCGACTCTATCCACTGTCCTCTCTCTCTCTCTGGTTTCAGACTCTATCCACTGTCCTCTCTCTCTCTGGTTTCACTCTATCCACTGTCTCTCTCTCTCTGGT